TTGGGAAAAAATATGTCTAGAAATAAAAAAAAAAAAAAAAAAAAAAAGGTTTTCAATTTGATATTTCGCACCGTTTTTGAATGCGTTAGCATTAGTGCCCTGGTGCATGAGCTGCCTTGGACTGGTTTGGAGCGCACATATGTAAAGATCGCAACGTCGCCACGGGATGGCCCGGCTGTAGAATCTGGCTAGGAAACACCTTCTACAAGCGCCGACAAATGGCGGCAAGTTGCCTATTTCGAGAGGCTTGGCGATAAGACGCATAGCAACGGAGGCCGCACTGGATTGGCTGGCTATACGGAGTGACGCCGTGACGTAACACCTAGCTACCAAAGATCGCCGGTGGCGTCCTCCTTCGCCAATTTCGGCGCCGCGCGGTGGGGGACGGCGCCGGCGGCCCAAGTACGCCCTAACCTCGCTGTCCCCCATCCGGACCTCGGTTGCTAGATGTTACGTCACGCCGTCCCGTGCGGCCTCCGAAGTGCTTCGATATACGCACCCCGCCGCCTTCTGTCGGCGCTTTCAGAAGTACTGAGAGGCTGCATTCAACATGCTCTGTTTTATATAACCGCTGCGCGAAATGCTAACCCATTTCTTCGAGAATCAGCGTGGCGGCAGCAGCTATTGCGGCCTTTTTTTTTTTTGGTAGACAGTATACGCGTTGTTGGATATTGTGATTCTACAGATGTTTCTGTCTTCGTTAGCTGAACGGGTGTCGACGAAAAATTCAGTGTCTGACTTGACGTTACCTTCCTCGTTTTGACCTCAAAAAAAAAAAAAAAAAAGAATAATAATGAAGATGTAGTTATTGTGCGATTATGTCGGGCACAATGCAACGCCACAAGCCTGCCTTCCGCCGTGCTTTGGCTGCACGTGCAAGCTGGAGACTCTCGAGACGCCGATGCGTTGTCTAAAGACTGATTGATTGATAGAACGTCTTTATTTTGCCTTTACGACTCACTCTTGCCGTAAGGCATCAGTGATGTTATGGAAGGCAGAAAAGTCGCACAGGAGCCGGCTTGCCACCAGGTTGCGAAGAAACACTTCCGTCACACAAATTGTACTTTTTTTTTTTTAAAGAAATATACTATTACTTGGTATAACAGGGATCAGGCAACTGGCGAAATTAAGAACTTTGGCTAGGTGGCGCGAGCGGCCGCCCGATTATAAGGGTTCAGCCGTATCCATTCATCCATCCATCCCAACTAGCGGTAGAGGTCATGTCTCCCTTAGTTGGTTTTGGGATATTTCGGGATGTATCCCGGCCCCTAACGTTGACTCGAAGTAAGGGTGTGGTGCTCAGCTTGGGGGCTGGGGGAGTAACGGCAGCTTCGGGGAGCTCTTCCGGCGTCTCCCTGACGACCAGGTCGGGACCGGCGAAGTCGTTGACACGCCGCTGCGGTTCCAGCGCGTGCTGCCGTGTCCCGAGGTCGAGTATCGACCGCGGGCTTGCCCGACGGCGCCCCTGGGCCTCGGTCCGCCCGCGCGTGTGATGATGTAACCGCTCGGGGAGTACTCTCGGCCGGCTGCGGCAGTCCCAGATGACGTTAGGTGCTGTCGCCTGGAAGGGATGCTTGCTGCTCGTCACCCTTCCCTATCTTTCTCTTCCTCTCCGCAGATATATATATATACTCTTTTTTTCTTTTTTTTTTTTTTTTTTTTTTTTTGAATAGTAGTAAGCATGTACCTCTGCTTTTTTTTTTATGTAGTTGAGGGAACGAGTTCGTCAGGAATGGAGACGGAGTCTTGAGACCCTGAGGAGGATGGGAATTCGTGATGAACTCGATTATTTGCAGGCGCTTTTTTTTTTTTTTTTTTTTTTGTGAACGTTTTTTGTTTAAAGTTTTTGTCGTGTATTTGGGCAACTATGTGTGTGTCATTGAGGTGACTGGTTGGGGGTTGCGTCGTTGAAGAAGAAAAAAAAAAAGCTTTTGTTTTGTTTTGTTGATTTTTTTGTTTTATACGTACACGACATATTTTTAAGGGGAAAACTAAGCTTCAGAACGCATGCTTCATAAAAAGGAATGAATAAAATTATGGACCCTGTAAGAAGTGTCTTCTTTCCGCATCACACGTGTAATGATGATGATTATTATTACTATTTATTTGGCGGCATTTTATGGGGCAAAAGAAATGCAGGATTTTGAAGTGGCGTGACTCCCGTAGCTTCTCAACCGCAGGGTATTGCGATTCGCACGGAGGAAAATTGTTTCGTTTAGCTTAGAACAGTCCTCGTACGCAAGTTTAAAAGCTACATTGACTCAAATGACACAGAAGCAAAACAAGTGCACGAAGGTTACAAAACGTACACTGTCGAAAGCCTGCGGTCGGCCTTTCGCGGCCTTTTATCCACTCGTCTGGCTATTCATACACTGGAGCAGATGTCGACAACGTGGTGCCACTCACGACGCCTCCGGCCTCTCCCAGTTAGCATTTGCGCGAGGCAGCCGGTGGGCGATATGGCCCGTAGCTATCGCCGGTTTGTGGCCTGTCGCCCATACTTCAGAGGCAGACGGGCTTTGACCTTATTTTCTATTCAAATCAGGTGCCAGTCGGCAGGAATGAGACGCCTTATTGCGTAATATTTGTTGCGCGAAATTTCGTTGCATGGAACTTTGCTGCGCAATGCATTTGTTGCGCAATGCTTTGTTGCGCGAAACATGCACTCTCGCACATGTCCCCACCCAAAATTTAAATATAATCTGAAAAAAAAAAATAATAATAATTTGGGGGATTGGCGTTTTTTAGCGAAACGCAGAGCGGGCACTGATAGGGTGGGGTTCACCACTTTGCACCGCGGTGCTCGGAGAAGCGGCTGACGAGAAGGAGAATCTCGGCTTGCTGTGGGCCCGGAAGTCTGGGTGGGCTCTTGACGTGTCTTTTGCTTAGTTTTCAAACGTTTCAAGAGTAGCGGTTAGGCGCTGATTGTGACCCTGGGCCCGTGCTCGGTGTTTTACGAATTGTTTCTCTGTCTATTTGTGTTGTTTTGGACTCTTATCTATTTCTTTTTCAAATTTGCCTGCGCTAGTTGGCCTCTTCCCTCGTGATGCATTCCCGTGGCTTACTTCACAGAGGTGAGCAGTGCGTAGGTAGAAGAGAAGCATAATAAGCAGTGGCCTGTCTGCAGAAGTAATTTTTGCTTTTCTGGTCGCCTTGTTGCATGCACGAGGTCGTTGTAATTTGCGAATGTATTTTGTTTCATGGCAGTAATTAATCCAGCACGTGCAGTCGAGATCTAGATAACAAATGTTTTTAATAATGGCAAGGTTCTTTTTACGTGTGTTAGTGTACGGGTGGAGATTCATTTAGCTAAGCGTGACCGTACAAGTCTGGAAGAGGAGACTGAATGTACAGAGATAACGAAGATTACATTTTTAGCACTTTTATTACCGCACAATTGATATTATTGCTTCTAGGATTAGTACACGCAATGTGTATAATACTAAAAAGATTGCAGAACTGGTGCCATAAGTAATTGATTTGATTGTTTGTAATGTGTGTACCATACCATTGCCAACACACACGATGAACAACAGACTGACAGAATGATCATTGTTTTTAGGTAGCTGTGTGCTGTCACACATTTACACATGAATCCTCCACTTTCGCTGTCAGTCACCATTGTTTTCGCATGGCCATCCACACGTCGGTCACAAAGTGACAACTCAAAGCTGCGTTTTTGTGAGTGCAGTGTCAATGCCATGGCTCTCTGACAGCGTTGCCCCGCATCATACCGTTACCTATAGATACGTTAAACTGTTCTAGCTCTTCTTGATAGCCCTGCACACAGAGGGTTAATCAGTAGGATCTGACGTTTCTGCCATAGAGGGCGTTATTGTTCCGTCGCCCTGGCAGTTTCATTGCTTGCGCCGATGGAAGACACGATAAACCCATCAGTCTTTAGCCAGGTGCTTACATTGACAAGCATCGCAGGATTATCCGAGTGAGCTTCCAAAATTCCACAACAGCAAGTTTTAGGCGACTGGAATGGTGCATTAATGTGGAGACTCCCCCATTGTCTGCTTGCATTTCTGACGGGGGAGTAATTAACTGGTATTTATTTCACTGAGAATATTAAATTGACATTTATCGGTGTCTACATTGGACACAGGCTGGACTCCTGTCCACGAAGGTGGTGAAATTAGCGAATTAAAAAAAAAAAAGGTTCTCTAAAAAGAAAATGAGCGAAGTAAAACAATTTTTCTCATTTGTTCGGTCGCTTGAGTGTTTTTAATTACATAGAATTGGAAAGGTGACCGCGACAGGTTCCTCGATTAATATCAACTTTGTGGGATTTGTGCGCAAAATTGTTTTAGTAAAATAGAAGTAAAAAAACATTAGAGTAGTTGATGAGCTTTTCAAAATTTCCTTGCTTCTAATAGTCTGCCATAGTAGTGTTTGATATACATCTGTCAGTGTTTTCTTTTTTTAGTACATGGGGTGTTTAATTTTATTAAAATCATCTGGTGGGGTAGTTAAGTATACATCACCAAAAAATAGCGCAAGGACGACGTTCTTCCTTCCGTCGTCCTTGCGCGATTTTTTAGTGGTTTAATTTTAATTTTAACAGGTGTATTAAAAAAAAATAGTGAAAGGTATTCCTACTTGGTATGTGTAGGTGATCTATACGGTCAAAAGGGCGTAATAGAGTGGGCTAATCGTCCTAATAAGTAGGGTATTTATCTCAAATGTGTTATTTGACTTTTTGGTTTGTGAAATCAAACTTATAGGGTAGTTCCAACCATAAACCCGCTGGGCGTCATAAAAGAAAAACGCCGAATTAGTCAATTTTAGAAAGACTTCAAGCGTGCGAGATGCGCGGTGTGGTGCGCTAAAGCTACCACTTTTCCAAGAAGTGCGAAGCCGGCGGTGCAGAAACGCGTATGATAATCTTATCATCCGAGTTTTTGCGCCGGCTCTAATTTGTCCAACTCACTTTGCGTTCAACATGCACAAGATCGTTGCCTGAGTGGCTGTGATGCTCTTTTCGGGAAATGCAGTGGCTGGCCAAAGATCATGTCCAGGAGAGCATTGGGCAGCTCCAGCGGCACCTACCACGTGCGAGCGTCCGAACTTGCCCGCGACGTCAAGAGCGTCAAGTCTCTCCGCTGCATCGTCTTCTTTCTGGACGACACGCAGCACACCTTCGACCTCGAGGTGGGTCCGCCAAACATTCTCCAAGACCGGCAGCCTTCAATCGCGGATTAAAGCCCGACGACCACAAGCCCGATATTCTGGCAGCCTTTTCTCCTCTCACGTCTTCGAGCGAGGGAAGCGAAGGATGGAGAGAGGAAACTAAAAAAAATGTCGGGCATGAGTCCGCGCGCGCGCCGCTTTGGATGATGGGTTGGTTCATTGTGCGGCCACGTGAATGGAGATGAGCCAGGGTGCCCCCACAATGGTCATGTCACAATCTGTGCGCCGGTGGATTAGCGATGGAACCTTCCAGGACTCAAGTCCAGGCCCAGGAGACGAGAACCAAGTTTGTTTTTCGTACTGCGCGGTACGTCTTCGCTGGGTGTTTTTTTTTTTTTTTTTTTTTTTTTTTTGATCAGCGCAATTTTTATTCAACGTCAATGGACCTTTTGTAGAAACATCGGTTCGGGAGTAAATGGTTCCAGTACCCTCTCTCTCTTCCTTCAGGCCGAGCAGAGAGGGAAGATAAGTCGAGTTTGGGGGAGCCATATCTAGGTCACAGCGCCTCAATGGGTGAACGGGACGTAGCTGACGCTTTGGGTGTGGAACAGGTGGGAAAGGCCTTGCGCGCACGTTGTTTTCTCGCCACTTAGCCTCGAACCCAGTCGCGTGTCTAGGTGGCAGCACATATTCGCCAAGAGGTCCATTGACGTCTTTTTTTTTTTTTATAACTAATGCTTTTGTAGGAAGCCTAGATTGGAATGCATTGACATGAAAATCTGAGGGTCACAAGGAATAAAGAGTTAATTAAGAGGCTTCTTTGTGCGAACTTCATAGCGAACGATAAATTGCAGATAAGCAAGTTACATACTCTGTTCACTCACAGGCCACTTCATCTAGGAAGCAGGATCTAATTTCCCTTCTCGAGAGGCAGTAGCTTATTTCGTTCGAACACACAATCACGTGTTTTCATACTCGCAACTTTCCAGCTATAATCAGTGACAGGTTAAGAAAGGTTTTTTTGACTGGGGAGGACGAAGCAGACGAAATACTGAATAGAGGAGGTTACCTCCTCCGCGGCATTCCGTTTGCTTCCCCCTCCCTTTGCCCTCCTTTCCCTCGAAAACGTTTCTTAACCTGTAAGACGATATTTTCCAAAATCGTGGATATCTCCTCGATACAACGAAATGAAGCACCAAAAAAACAAAGAAAGGCTTTCAATCGTACTTAGCAACGTCGCCCCTCCCCCCCTTTTTTTTTCCACCCCCCCCCCCCCCAGAAAAAAAAAAGAAAGAAAATCTCCTTGGGGAACTAATAAAGAAATACCAGTGCAGGGCACTAACGCCGACATTGTAACTCACGGACTCAAGGCCGCTTGTCTATCACGTTGGCGTGGCGCGTTTGTATCGTAATCCTTTTTTTTTTTCTAGTTGGAGTCTATGTGGCTTAGTTGCCGTGGGCTTAGCGGGGCAGGGGTAGGGGACGAAAAGGCGGGGGGGGGGGGGAGAGAGAGAGAGAGAGAGAGAGAGAGAAAGAAAGAAAGAGAGAGGGAGGAAGGGGGGAGGAGACAGCCAACAGTGGAAAGAATAGGAGGGAGAGGATGAAGCGAAGGCAAAGTGGAAAGCGCGAAACGGTCGTCGGCCTTTAAACTAGCGCATTACAAAGGAGAGGGGGAAAATGGGGGGATCAGGGCGTGCCGGCAATAATGTAGCTGACCTTATTTATGTTATTTCCCTCTTTTATCTTTCTGCACCGACACATTTTGCCGTAGACCACCTAGACCCAGTGATGTAATTGCTGCGCCGAACGGCGCCAAAAAGGCTTACCCTGCTACCTCCTGCTACATTTCATGCCGACATCGTGCCAAAGTGTAATTTCCCTTTCTCAGTTGGTGGAACTGATATACACCGGGTTCGTCCCGGGTGGCTACTGCAATTTTTTCGAAACTTTCGGTTATCGTTTCGAATAACGTAGTATTCGATTTTATCTTCATATAAAGCACTGAGGGTGTTTGAAATTTTGCAATATTTCCAATCTGTGCGTCTTTTTGGGTGGGTTAGTTCTCTCTGGAGTGTGCTTCTCACCGGCCAATGGTGCGTTCCGGAAAAATGCCACCCATGGAGTAGACATCGCGATCCTACGTATCTCGCTTTGCCGCAGCACAGCCGCATGTTCTGGAGAAAAGCACTCCTTCAGAACGAAATGGCGCACGCGCGTGCATCAAATGATTTCTCACAGTGGGAAGCTTGGGGAGAACTTTTAACAAGTTCAGTTTGATTTATGATAAACCCATATTTATCACTCACGTGCTGATTTTTAGATCGTCATACATATTTAGACATAAAAATCACTTAATGTGTAATTTCATAGCAAAAGATTTCTTTTACTAGCTGAGTTAAAGATTGTAAAATTTTTGTGTGTGTAAAACTGATACAAGACAAGACATCCAAGTTTGTACTCGGAATTATTTTATTTTTATTCTATTGCAGTGGAATACTGTCTGATTGGCCTTCACTCTATGCCTAAAACAGCCATTCACAGGTATCCATGCCATGTACTTTATCAGTTAGCACGCGTTTCAAAATACACTGCTGCAACGGACCTTTTTAAGCAAAAGAATGTCTTTTGCCTCGTTACAACATCCTTGCTGTCGTGTCTGGTGCTTGCAGAACTAAACAGGTAGTTGAGCGTTTAAGGGAATCAACTTTCTTGTTTGCAGTGGACGCTGACGAGTGGCTGCAGAGGTGTAGAAAAGCAAAGGATGCATGGTGTTTTAGTTGTGTAGCCGAACATGGCAATTTTAACATAATGTTTGTGGTAAAATGAATGAGAAGTAAGTAAGTACGATTGGTGCTCCAAAATGGCCCGGGTCGATCATATCACTGTACTGTATCTAGTTCTGAAGGTTCTCTTGCTTTGGGGCCTTCCTTTTCAACACAGTAGTTTGTTAACTCGTATTTCTTTTTCAAATGTCTACACATAGCTTTTATTTTTTTTTATCAAGTTATGTGTATCAAGTTATGCGGTCTTTCTTAACACCTCTTATCAGTTGTACACAATCTGATTGCTTGGTTGCACCCATTACTGGGTGCTATAAAGGTGGTGGATCCACGATGTGATGTGTGCCGTGAGGGAAAGGAAATAGAGGGGGAGATTAATAAAATCGAACTAATCTGGGATATGGTCCTTCATTACTTTTCTATTAGCCGTCTTCGTGTGACATAGCAGGTATTGCTTTCCAGGTGAATTGTGTGTTCATTAAGTAACTTTATCACTTATTCACTCCTTGTAGGAGCAAGTGAGTGAACCTAGGATCACAGCTTGTCTCGGAGCAAAGCGTATTTGAGGAGCAAGTGCCCCCTCCCCTGCCCCTCCGTGCCCTGTTCTTTTGTGACATGACATAATATGCTTCATTACCAGCGTAACACTACTGTAGTATAATTCCGTAAGAAGGCCCCCCCCCCCCTCCCCCCCAAAATGAAGAGATAAATGGTAAAAAAACATTGGGTGGGCTATCTTTGGGAATGCCACAGCAAAACTTTATCAACATTAATGATAAACACCAGGATACCCGCTACAAACCACGTGACGCGGGAACCGATACGTCAGATCGCGGACACGGCAAATTCGCGTTTCACGATGCGACAAACATGCGGGAGATTCGCTACGAACCCCTGTGTCACGCGATAGGATACCGCAGGTTGCGGACGCAGCACATTAGTGTTTCATGGTACGAAGGACCCGCGGAAACCCGCCGAGAACTCGCATCTCACGGGAACGGACACCGCAGATCGCGGATGCAGCAGATTCAAGTTTCATGGCGTAACAAACATGCGCGAACCAGCCACAAACTTTCCTGTCACTGGAACCGATATTTCGCGCGCAGATTGCGGACAAAAACGCGGTAATCCGCTAGAAACTCGCATGTTACGGGAACAAGTACCGCAGACGGCGGACACAGCAGAATCGGCATTTCACGACGCAATATACACGCGGGAGCAACTCGCGTGTTACGGGAATCGACATCGCGCTTGCAGATCGCGGACAAAAACGCGGAAACCCCACTAGAAACTCGCTTGTCATATGTACCGGTGCCGCAGATCGCGCGGTTGATGCGATTTCCGTCGGACGTCACGTGACGTCCGGCGGGATCGGGGGGTGGGCGATGTTTCGGAATTTTTATTTTACGAATATTTAGCCAGAAAAACGGAATGGGCGATATCTCGGGGAAGGCGTCCTTACGAAATTTCACAGTCGCGCTAGTCACTGAACTGGGATGCGTCATTAAACTGCTTTTGTATTGTGCTCTTCACTCTATAACAGAAGCGCTCCAAGGGCCAAGTTCTCTTCGACCTTGTCTTCCGGCAGTCCGAATTGGTGGAGAAGGATTACTTTGGGCTGCAGTTTTCGGAGAAGGCCTCTGCTGTTGATGGCATGGTCAGTGGCACTTGCTTTTTGGTTTTTCTAAAACAGTTCAAGGATATTACCTGTGTTCTGCAACATAGACATGTCATATATTTTTGCTCTTGGAATTGTGCCTTTCTTTGCACTTATACTCTTTAATCGTGGTTTCAGAGGTGGCTCGATCCTGTCAAGTGCATTAAGAAGCAGATCAAGGGTAAGCACCGTGTAAAATGCATAACCCCCTTTAGCTAGAATCGAACGTTTTCATGCCTAATCTGAAAGTGTGCTTTTCAGCATCGTGAAGCATAACCACCTTATTCCTTTTTCGTCTCATCGAAAGCAATGAAAAGCAGCGCACATACTTGTTTATTTCTTCGTCAAGGGTGTGCCAGGAAAGGTTGAAGCAAGTGCATGCACATAGTTCTAGAAATTAGTTTGAAGCAGGGACTGAAACTGTAACTGAAACCGAAAACCTATTAGGAACAAAATTTTTTCAGTAATTTTAACGGAACGAAACTGTTATTTGGAATTGATGAAAACTGTAACCGTAACCGTGAATTATTTCCCGGTAACCGATATTAACCGAAAAATAAAAATATTAGTTCTTCTCAAGAATGGCCTTGAGGAGAAATCTTGAAATGTTGTGGTCATTTGACGGAGTTACTGTCAGCGAGTGGTGCATCTGGTAATATATTTCCGTTCAATCTAAATTCAGGATTAAGAATCCTTAGTTGGAATCACTGGTCTAGCTAATAAAAGTCTCTCTTTCTAAATCTGCCAGACTCATACATTCGCTACATGTGTTCAGTATCTGTTGCCTTCAGGGTATAAGCTAACAAATTAGAAATCTGAGCTATCCATCCAACTTGTTTCCTTCAAAACCACCTATGGTCCTGACCCTCAGAGAAGGTGCGAATGGTTCTTCCAGCACCCAGTGGGAACTTTTTGAGGGTTGTTTACAAATGCTGCCAAACAACAAAGTAGCAATGTTTATTTTTATTTTTATTAGAGAGTGATGATCCCCAAGTAGCAGGGGTAAGATGTATGCTTGGGTATCGAAATACTAATGCCAATAAATGTAGTGAACAAATGTGGGACATAGAAACATGTGCAACTTTTGACCTTTTGAAATTACTAAGACTTTTTTGACTTCTTGTTATTGTGAATGTCCGGTTTTTATATATCTGGGACTACTTTAAACCAGTAATTATAAAATGGCTGTCTAGCGTTTCAATAAAACAAATTATATGGAGAAACAGAAAAAAGATATTTTTAGGAACATGTAATTGGTAACCAAAACCATAAAAAAACAAAATGAAACCGATATCAACAGGAAACGGTAACCGTAACCGAACTGTTATACTTTTCGGTTTGAGTGCGTGGTTTGAAGTGAACGGATATGCATTAACCTAAATTAAGCTGCCTTTCTGGCATACCTCGGCAAACCTCACTCATGAGGGCCCTCACTCACCCTCACTCACCCTCATCTTCACAGGTGAGGTGAGGGTGAGTGAGTTTCTGAACCAGGAAAATTCATGAGTGTGAGGGTGAGTGAGGGCCGTGAGGGCCGTGAGGGCTGTGAGGGCGGTGAGGGCCGTGAGGGTGGGGGGGGGCCGTGAAGGCCGTGAGGGCCATGAGGGCGTTGAGGGCGGTGAGGGGTATGAGTGCGTGAGGGCGGTGAGTGGCGTGAGGGCCATGAGTGCGTGAGTGGTGTGAGGGCGGTGAGTGCGTGAGGGGTGTGAGGGCCATGAGTGCGTGAGGGCAGTGAGTGGCATGAGAGGCGTGAGGGCGGTGAGTACATGAGGTGGTGTGAGGGCCATGAGTGCGTGAGGGCGGTGAGTGCGTGAGGCCCCCTTCAGATCGAGCATCTTTCACAGCAATTGTGGTGTTAATGGCGGGTTGTTCTCTAGCTTTCCCTAGATCGACACGAATTGCTGAGATCGGGTCCGGCTCGAAATAAGCAAGCAACTCGGGGCAATTCGAATGCGTTTGAAGCGGCTGCATCCAATCAGGGACGCAAAATTTTCACGTGATACCTCGTGCCGGCGATGATGACACCGAAAGACTTGCTTCTGGTTTGAAATCCATCGTTTTTTTGGAAATAAACTGTTTCAGAAAGGTGCATTAGTATTGTTAACGAGATTTAAATGCATAAAAACATGTTCATAACGCGTAATTGTGTCTAAATAGTGCAAGAAAAATAAAATTTTATGATGACAATGGCAAATTGCAGCAATTGGTTGCTGCGTGTGATCGCGGACGGCCCGTGTTCCTGGTGTTGCGACGTAAAGTTTCTGGGAGAAATTGCCCCATTTGAAGCTGGCCTGAGCGGCGTGAGGGCCATCAGTGCGTGAGGGGCGTGAGGGGTGTGAGGGCCGCAAGGGCGTTGAGGCGCGTGAGGGCGGTGAGTGGCGTGAGGGCGGTGAGTGGCGTGAGGGCGGTGAGTGGCGTGAAGGCGGTGAGTGGCGTGAGGGCCGTGAGGGCGGTGAGGGCCGTGAGGGCGGTGAGGGCCGTGAGTGGCGTGAGGGCTATGAGCGCGTGAGCGCCGTGAGGGCGGTGAGGGCCGTGAGGGCGGTGAGTGGCGTGAGGGCCATGAGTGAGTGAGGGGCGTGCAGGCGGTGAGGGCGGTGAGGGCCGTGAGGGGCGTGAGGGCCATGAGGGCGGTGAGTGCATGAGGGCCGTGAGGTTCAGTGAGCGTGAGTGAAGGGCTGAAGGTGAGTGTGACTGTGAGGGTGAGGGTGAGTGAGGGGCTGAAGGTTAGTGTAGCTGTGAGGGTGAGGGTGAGTGAGGGGCTTAGGTGAGTGTGGCTGTGAGGGTGAGGGTGAGTGAGGGCGACCTAAAATGCCGACCTCTGCTTTCTGGGCTTAGTGCTCATGCTTTTCATAATGTTGTGCAGAGGCACATCTGATGAATGCATGTTCCTGCGCACCTTTTTTGGAAAGGAAAAAAAACTGTGATGACGGTATATCGCAGTATAACTTTGTTAACAACAGATTTAGTTACAGCAGACATTTGGTTTTGACCTACTGTTTTGTGAATGGTTGGTCTTCTTATCTATGCCATTGAGCCAACTTCGTTTATTACAGATTTTGTTATAACAAACATTTGAATAAAATGAACTATATTAGGAAGTTTTTAAGTAGTTCACCATTCCATTATAGCAGACTCAACAGCAGTTATTATTTCATACATTACGTTGCTTTGGTTTGGTAGCAGTGGCATTCATTTTGCAAACTGGTGTCGTCACGCTCGGTGCCTCCCGAGCCTTGTAGGACCCAAAGGATGGAGCAATGACGATGATCAGTACAGCTCAATAAAAAATCGCTACCTTTTAAAAGCTTTTAAGATTCCATAAACAAGCACTGTTCTACTATCCATTCACATATTGTCAGTCTCACTGGTTAGAGCAGACCTCAGCCGCCATAATCCATCTCAAAGTCTGTCGTAAAAGTATCTGCACTCTGCATACCCCTTTAACAACACACCAAAATCTTCATTACTGTCAATATTTGTCATAATGAGTTTATATTGTATTTACCCTGCTCTTGTATTGTGGTAGAGATAATCATGTGTAACAGCTAGCTTTGCAGCCATTCTATCTCCTGAGTGGAAAAAGGGACTCTTTACTGCTGGTGTTTATTAGCCAAGCCAAAAGAGATTATGAAAGTGCCTGGTCCTTTTATAAATGAAAGTAGTGCTTCACGCAAGCTGGGAGTTGCACCTGATGCTGTTTGAGGTGCAATAATGTCCCTTTATTATGCAGCCTCTGCCTTTCATATGGAATTCCTGTTCCTTGAGTTTAGACCTTATGCAGTAAAACCTTGTTATAACAAACTGGGATATAACAAAGCAATCATAATTCCTCTTGCTTGATAATAGTGGGAAGAAATGGACATTAGCTATAACAAACTAATGGTTATGACGAAATAATTACGACCACTCTTTCAACTTTGTTATAACGAGGTTTTACTGTAGTTTGCATTGTAGATACTTCCCGATTTGGGTGAAAGGGATTCAGTGTCATTTACAGCATTCACGCTGATGGGACTGCTGCAGTTGACCTGAAAACTGTTCACTACATATTTTTAAAATGGCTTCCCTATAGAATCTGTTGTTGGGCGTCCTCCCACAGGTGTTGATCTGTCGCAACTGGAAAACTTAGCCTCATTGAATGCAGTTGGCTAAGTTTCTGTTTCTTAAGGACTGATTTCTGCTCTCTCTTTCTTCCGCGCAGTTGGCCCTCCATACTTGTTGTACTTTCGCGTCAAGTTCTACGTTTCCGATCCAAGCAAGCTGCAAGAGGAGTGGACAAGGTAAGAAAGTGCATCCATTCAACAGGTTACAGACAACAATCGGCTGCACCTTTCTATGTTCACGTTGCAAGTGTCAGGTTATCGACATGTCCCGCTCACCTTGACTTCGTACCTACCGCTTTGTCGGCAGAAGTCCGTACCAGGCAATTTCTTTTTTTTGGTACGAACCGAACGTCTGTGTCCTGTGCGTAAGGCAGAAACAATTGCACTGTGTTTGCAGGTACTACTTTTTTCTCCAGTTGAAAAAAGACATCCTCGAAGGCAGGCTTGTCATTCCTCCAGCCACTGCAGCACTCCTGGCCAGCTATGCCGTCCAGTGTGAGTCGTGATTCTCGCTCCTCTGCCCGCTGAAAAGGGTGCAAACTCCTCCTGAGGGCCTACAGTAGCATGAATTTTTGGCCGATTGGAGATGTCTCTGGATTTAAAGGAAAGGTAAAGTCCTGAATATGAGGCAGATAAATGAATATTAAATTGAAGAAGAACGGGCTTCCCTAACCCGCACATTGTGGAGGTGAACGAAGGTCAAACTAAAATGAAGACATAGAAGTGAAGAAGAAAACATTATTTATTCGGCACCCCCTGTTCCGGGGCACCTGTAGAGACCACCAGAACAGCCTCGTCAGAGCTGGCCATCCAATCAGCCCATGACTGGATGGTCAGGTCCATGGTGTGTGATCTATGTTTAGAGAGGCTCCACTGTGGGTGCACGCTGCAGGGCCTGGTTTCTTGCTGAACTAGGGACTCTTTTTCTAAAGCGAGTGACCTTGTAGCCTCGTTAACTTGTTTGTTTGTTTATATACTGATTTACACTCTACCAGCTACCATCCAACAGCCAAGACAAAAGAGGGCATTTAATTATAACAAGAATTTAAAGCGTAAATAAATTAAACGCCGCAGCACTGTTGCAAATTCATGAATGTGTAAGGCATTTGCGGTGTTTAGCAACACAAAAGTTTTATTTTTGAGGGGATGCATATAAGTATATTTTTTAACATCTGGTTCTGCAGATTTGACCACGATTTGGGGCACAAAGAAGGGATTTCGCATTGCATTGCTATCTGTGGATCAGGAGCTTTTAAAGCTTGACATACCTCACGTGGCCATTGCCAGCTTTTTTACTACCAGAGTCACCGAGATATTGCATCAGTGGGAGGGATGAGGTACCACGTGTGCCACCCAGGCAGCTTTTTTTAAGATATGGGCTAATGTTTGCTAGTTTGAACATCTTGAAAACAATTTTATTGCAACAGCGTGAATGTTGGAAGCGACTGGGAATGCACAAGCGTGCCTCCTTGCCGTGGCTGCAGAGAACCGTGGAACTTGTGTCGCTCGCTTCAACCTTCACAACCTCTCTCCAGAGCAGAGCCGTGTATAGAGAGAGTTTGGTCAATGGGAGGTGTGGGCAGAGTCAGGGTGTGCACCTGACGCAGAACTACGGCTTGACGTGCTCTCTTGGCCAACCAGAAGCCGAAGAGAATCCCCTAGCGGTGGTAGCGAGAAAGAGTTTTAGTCATAGGTATATGGTTTTAATAAGCGCATAAGAGTTAAATGTCGTAACCCTTCATGGTTGAAAACAGGGTGCACGCGATGTTTCGATCATGATTATTCACAAAGATGTAAGAAACGAACGTGCCGCTCAACTCTGTTTTGCTCGGACAGAGTTTGACCACTCGGACGGCAAATTCCCGGCCCTTGGCACCTGGCGTACAGGTTATGTCAATTGTGCCGCTAGTCGCACTCTTCCACCATGATTATGGATGACCGTGATTGAAACATCACATGCACCATATTTTCAATCATTGAGAGTTTTGTTTTCAATCACCGAGAGCTTCTCGCGACTACCGTCAGGGTATTGATATCCGGTTGCTGGTTGTCCAATTTCGAATTTCTGAAGACGCCCTGGAACACGCCCACTCACTTTCGGCCAGTGGTGTCTCAAAAAAGTAAAAAATTTTGATTTGGCCAATGGCACCCCCTCATTTGTCTCCTATACTTCCCTATGAATGGCCAAGCTCTGTCTATATACGGCTCTGCGCCAGAGCAGAGCCGTATATGTAGAGAGTTTGGCCATTCATTCGGAAGTATAGGAGAGAAATGAGGGGTTGCCATTGGCCGAAAGCAGGCTGGGCGTGTTCGAGGGCATCTTCACAAATTGGCCATCCGAAAGCCGAAAATAATACCCTGGCGGTGGTTGCGAGAAACAAACTTGATAAGTGCGTCAGAGTAATTCTCGGGGACTGAAAATGAGGTGCACGTGATGTTTCAACCATGGTCATCCAAAATCATGGTGGAAGGGCACGACTAGCGGAACAATCGACATAATTCGTACACCAGGCGCCGAGGGCGGGGAATCTGCAATCTGAGCGCTCACACCCTGTTCGAGCGGCACAGTCGTTTCTTACATCTTTCTGCATGATCGAAACATCGCTAGGGAATTCTTTTCGGCTTCTGGTTTGGAAAGAGAATATGCCAAGCCCTCTTTCTGCATCTGGTGCTCGCCCGGGCTCTGCCCGTGCCTCCCATTGACCAAACTTTCTGTATACGTGGCTCTGCACCAGAGCATACGCGTCGAGCTTCACCGCCTTGCACCGGAGTGCTAGGGCCAGTGGCCGACACGGGGGACAGCCTGAGTTAGCGCGATAGTCTCGGAAATTATGCTCATGACTATTTCAGGTCTACCTTCTTCTTTGGCTTTGATTTTAGGTTGACTTCTGAATTTAAAAAGACGTGCCGAGAAAGAGAAAGAAAAACACGAAAAAAACGCGGGTCTATATTTGAAGAAATCCGGTAGTCAAGGTACAGTAGGCTTGCGATAATTCAAGCTCGGATATTTTGTACTAATGGTTAATTCAAAAAAATTTCCAAATGTTGTTTGTCTTGCTATGTTTTTAATGTATTCATAAGCCGCTTAATTCGAACGGCGTTTTCGTGTAATTCATGCTTTTTGTTCTCGCGGCCCCCTTGAGTGCGCTTCTTTTCGAGCTCCGGTGCACTGCAGTGAATCAACACCAATGGAGCTTGCTTTCGCGGGTGTTGCTTCTCCGCAGTGCACCGATGCTCATTGAGAAGCGCACTCAACGAGGCTCAAGCAGGGTGACACATGGGCTATGATAACGGGCACCACGCAGATGTCACCATAGCAACTTGCTCGCACGCTGTGGCGTGGCGGCATGACATAGGCCCTCGTCACAGCGCCCGCGCAAGTTTCTACGAAAACTGCCGCACGGTGCTCGTTTTCATTGCTGATAGGTTTCCTGCTTAATAGTCCACATTGGACGACTTCTTGGCTTGATGAACAAACTTAATTTTGTTTTAAGTATCATTTCACTGTCTAAACAGTCCACAATACACAACATCTTTTAGGTATAAATAAACTTATATTATACATTTCACAAATCTTTTTTTTGTGGCATACCTGCTTATGATGTGGAGACCTATGTACAGGAAATCCTCAAATATCTGCTTTGTATGTGCAGCCATTCATTTGGCAAATCATAATGTTATCTCCGATAATTCGAACAAAATTTGTGGCTTCCTGGAGTTTGAATTAATGAGAGTCTACTGCAGCTGTCAATCGAAAGAGCATCGAACTTTGACTCAACTCTGGTACCAACGCCGCTAAAGATCAGTGTCACATTTAAAGCACAAGCTCAGGCTTTCATAATTTTTGTGTGTGGTTGTTTTTGCATTTTATGATATTAAAGTCTTAAGTTTGGTTGGTTAATAAAACTTGGGGTACGCCTTTTTATTGATGAGTGTTAGTGAATATGCTGGTTTTTGCTGGCATTTTACAGAAATTAAATTTGCAGGCTAAATAAACGATCAAGTGAAGAAGGGAGAGGGGAGTGAGGCTTTGTCTCAAATGAAGTGTTGCACTACAATTCATTTTTCACCCATAATAATGGGAATCTACTCTGAGAAGAGCCTTATTTCTAAAAAGAAATCTCTGTTTCTCTTTCACCCTTTCTATTCTCATCACAAGATATAATAAGCAATATGCTCCGGTATCAAGGGGGAGCCCTCAGTCAGTATTGAAGACGAACCTGCTGAGCGATGCAGTTGCATTTAACGTGAAACATTCTTTGACTATGTGCTCGGCACTTCGCGAAGCCTGGATAACAGCGCGGCCTCAAGGCTCGACGGTGATGATCCTAAAGGGGACGCGGGTGAAGGGGCGCGGAAGTAGGCCAGCAAGACAGCGACACCTCACCAACACGATGCAGTACGCTCAAACTAGAAGTAAATTAAAAAGCTCTGCTAAAATCATTCCCAAAATATTTCTCAATTAAAAAAAAAAATGCAGCCGAGCTTCTTATGTTGCGGTGTTATGTATTTCAGCCGAACTGGGAGACTACAATCCTGACGACCACAAGCACGGCTACCTAGCCGACATGAGACTAGTGCCTCATCAGACGGAAGAACTCGAAGAGAAGATTGCTGAACTCCACAAATTGCACAAGTAAAAGTTTCTTCTTTTTTTTCTGTGTCCTATAAATTCTTGTATTGTTCTGCAACAACTACATATGCCCGGTGCAGTTTGTTGTGCAACGTGCGCCATTGGGATCTATAAGTTGTGAAATTAGTTTTTAAAACTTGGAGGACGCTTAAGCTTCGCCTTTAAGAGTGGAATGCAATAGCGTTGTCGGGCCCCGTTCGCATCGCCTTCTCATTCACTTCTCGCGCTCTTTTAGCCAGTGAGCAGGAAGTGCAGCGGATGTGGCCTAGTCAGTAGCGCGTCGGGCTTGCAACCGAAGGGTCGTGGGTTCGAACCCCACCTAAAATTCTTCAAATATTTCTTTAAGGCAAACGAATTACTTTATAGGGTGAAATCATTTGAGACATGCGGCGACCTTTAATTTACATTTCACATCATGTTATAATCAACTTCAATTCACGCGTGACGTCACGTCTCATGTGAGCGTTGCTGGTTGTTCGAAAATTCCCGCTCGAGGTCATGTGGCTCTGGTGTCACGATCCTATCGACCTATCAGGATTTTCCCGTGACAACGCCATTGACGCCGACTTTTCTGCGACACGAGCTTCCTAACGCTGTCACATTAATATGCAACAGTGCAACCTAATGAGAAGTCAAATATTCGAATACTTTGATGCCCAGCTGCGACTAAACAAAAAAAAGATAGCTTGCAACAACCTGCAAAACATAATTTTAGTTCGGCTGATGTTGTCCCTAGTTTGGGTGCACAGTTGTGCCCCGTGGAGTTACTGTTAGTTGCCCTTTGAAGGTACCAAGGACGGACAAAACACTGCATGCCTGGAGGTTCAGTGACCTTTATAGTGATAATACCTCGACATCTCGTGAACCTGTTGCATGCGCGCACAGCCGAGCACAGACGGAGTGCAACAAGCACATACCTGAGATTGGACATCCAAAAGAGCCACTATGCTCTTCTCGTTCTGCCAGTGACCATAGCAGCCTCATGCTTTCTTAGGCTCGACAATATATGCCGTATTTCAAGCGTCAGCCTCTCGTATTGTTGGTTGTAAACACAAACAAATTCTTCTAACTGTTGCTGCGACTGTCTATGTTTTTTGGAGGTCTCTGCAACATCGTCGAATTTTTACCTTGCAGTTATGATCCTCGACTCCTGCTGAGTGAACTTTCACCTCGCACAATACTCAAGTTATTCAAATTCTAGTTTCATTGCCGGAGCTTAGTCAGTCCACACATAAACGGTGGGCCACTGTTACGAGTGCTTCTAATATGTGAGATACGATCATGATTCTCTAAATTTCATCGGGTGTTTGAGTCAATACATCCTCTTTTGCAGGGGCCAGAATTCGGCGGACGCGGAGTTTAACTTTCTGGAACATGCTAAAAGGTTGGACATGTATGGTGTTGACTTGCACAAGGCGAGGGTAAGGGTAAGCGGTATTTTGCATGGTCGTCTAGCTGCATGGTTTGTTTGGTGTCTCTTTCTTTCTTACATTTGGCTTGTGGTGGGTTTCATTTGCCCAATGCCCTCCTATGAGGTCTGTGCCTTTTCTTGTCCCTTTGAATGTTGTTCGGATAAAGTTTGATATTCATTCTGTGCACGTTGATGTCCTTTGTTTTCAACTTTGGGTGCTCTAAGAGGGTGGTGAGGTGCTTGACGGCATCCTGAGATTGCAGTGTGCCATTTCTGTAAAATAGAAAGTGGGGTAATGGATCATGTGTACTTTGCCTCCTCACCCTCTTTTCCTAGAATGTTTTCTAAAAGAAAATGTACATTAGAAGCAAAATGAGCCCTGACCAAAACTTGAGCATTGGTACACTACCCTTTCTCTGCACATACTTGCTTTGCCTCGGTCTACAATAATCGTGCACATAATGTGATACTGTTCGCATCAGTGCGGACATGAGGATTTATCATAATTCTTTGACTTTCTCCGGTGGTGACAGTGGGCATCACTTGTGCCAGGCTTTTAGAAGTCACATAAAAATGTTTTGCAGACACCTATCTGGAATATCAAGTACCTCTGCCACACAGTTGCTTTTCTTTTTTACCCTCTCTTCAATCATTTGTCAAATGGCTGCTTGTCGCTGAACCACTCGCTACTTTTCATCTCCGGTGCATCTTGGATCAATCTTCTGAAGGGTGGTTGCTAACTCCAAGAGCACTTTAATACTTTTCTGTCACACGAATTGGATCTTTTCACCTTTGAATGAGGGGAGTAAAAGTGAATATGTGGCGTTTTAGGACAAGTCTGTGCTCGGGTTTATCTTACGGTCGACCACAATGAACATTACAAGTGGTTTGCAAATGTGCAAATATGCTTAGAGTGCAAAGTCACGTGGCTTGCTCACAGCCGTTGATTCGCCCGAATACTCATTGCATTCTGCGTGACCCACCCCGGTGAAATGGAGTATAGACTAATTAAACTGAAAATCTCTAATGACTGAAGTAAAAGTTCTTCAAAGCCTATTCCTGCATTACCTTATATTGCAAAGTGTGACCATAGATGCACTACTGGTATTGTAGTAGCCTGCTATAGCTCTCTGCAAGCGGCAGTATATGCATGCACACTTTTTTGGGGAAGCTCTGGTTCCACAAATGCTTGCACAAAATTTCTCGGAATGTCCTTCGCAGAATGTGGGAAAATCTTTGCTGCGAAGGGTGGGAATTTCCTAGCTGCCACAGTGAAGGTTTTTGACTAGCTATTTGAATGTGATGCACTTGGATCCCCTATTGAATGAAGATGCTAACCCTTTGACTGTTGTTGCCATACGTGTACGGCGGCAAATGCACATTTGAAAGTGCCTGCCTAAATGCGAAACTGCGCGCAACACGTGAGGTGTTGCTATTTTTTACTTCTTCAGCAAACTATAAACGTTCCATTTGCACAATGTTTCGCTTTGCTGGGCTATTTATTGTCCTCAAATTAGACGCTCCGCACACGTGGTGCTCACTTTGCATACTGGATGCTCCGGCAGCGGTGCCAATAGGAGCACCGGCTCTTCCGAATCAGACTTTCAATGCTTTTCAGAATTAAATTCGAAGGATGGGAGCTCATCATCCGGAGAGGCACTCACCTGATCGAATGACGTTTTAGCGAACGCCCACGTTTCACCGAATGACACTTTAGCGAATAGTCGGACGCCGCGAAGCGGCGTTTGCGTGTGGACCAAGTGGGTTCACATTTTTGTAATGAGCCGTTGCTGACTGTCACCGCGAAGTGGCGTAAGCGCAGCGCGGGGGGTGGCTTACACGTGCCCCCGTCATTCGCTCAAACGTTGATTCGCTCTTGCTGTTCGCTAAAACGTCATTTGCTCATGTGATATGGACCCCATCATCCGACAGAGATGATCTGTAAAGTACCTCCAATTAGGAAAAGCCTGTGCATTGACCCTCTTTTTATACTACAGTATTCATTTGTAAACAAAACCCAACCATTGGGAAACATCTTTTGAGAAAAAACAACAACTTGACCGTCAAAGGGTTAAGTGGCAAAGCAATAGATGTTGGTGGTGATAAACTTGCATCATTAGTAGCGATGGATTATTGTAAGAGTCAATAATGGGTTTATGACGTGACGTCTTCATAAAATACCTAAACATGCTAGTTTGGTGAAAATTTTGTTTGCCCTGACTCACTTTTGACCAGAAAAGCAGCTCTATTGACGGGCTCTCAGTTCTACTCTTCACTCCTTATTTTTATAGTAGTACTTGGTTTCCACACAGCATGCCTCTGTGATCTTTTGGTCATGCTCGTATGCATGATTACAGCTTTTGATGATGCTCATAGCCTGATGGCAGCCTTTGATCACGCTGCCACCATGCAACGAGGAGTTTCCTAACAGGTTCCGTGGTGACTTCCTCTTTCAGGACTCTACGCAGGCTGAGCTACAGCTGGGTGTGACGTCCTACGGTCTAGTGGTCTTTCAGAACAGTATACGAATTAACACCTTTTCTTGGTGCGTCCCTTTCATCCTACTCCTGTGTGCGATTTACTGACCTGTGATTATCAAATTTAAAAAAAAAAAAGGTTGTAGGCCATAAATGAGTCTGATGAGTGCAGTTTAGTGCTGATGTACGATCATCAATCGTTTCACAAATATGGTAGTAACGATGGCCTACACCAGTGGTCTCAAACTCGTTTGAGTGCGGGGGCCAGATAGCCCATACCGGAAAGGCCGAGGACCAATGTAAGACGGGGTGGGAGGGGGGGGTTCGGAAGATTTTAAAGGGAAGAGACCTCGTGTTCTATGCTTTTCGTAAACTCACAGTTTTGCCAGTCACATCTTTAGATTTGATTTGTTTACATGACTACTTTCGACTCTGAATCTGCCATTTTTAATATAAGAGAGCTAGTAATATGTTGTTCCTGTTCCTCACTTCACCGAGGAATGAATTAAGCTCAACATGTCTCTAAAAGACAGTCAGTTAATTTGGCAGTTATTGCTTTCCTGGAGATTTTTATTAATACACTGTGAACCCACACTTGTCTTCTAATGATGGTATTTTTTTTAAGGCGACAATTTTGAACTTGTAGTTTTATCTTTGGGAGTTGCTCTTGCTGGTCGAGAGTTTATGCAGTCGAGATCCATTCTTCAACAAAGAGCTCTCGCTTACAGCCTAGTAGCGCAATTGTTGTACATTGCAAAAAGCTGAAAAGCGAAAGAAGACAGTAGAAACTATGTGAACACGTTAAATGCTGAGCTACCTTTTGAGCAAAAATGAGTCAGCGAGATCAGATCACTATGGCACATGCCATTCCTAGCTCTCGAGACATGGGAACTTGGACTTGTAGCCGGTTGCCAGCAGGCCACGTCCCAGCGAGTCAGGAGCCGCATGTAACCTGCGGGCCACGTATTTGATACCCCTTGCCTACACTTTTGTGTCCTTTTGATCATTATGCCAAACGCAAAAATAATCAATGATATTGTAGTGAGTGCACAGGCGAGCTGGTGGAAATTAACCATTCTGATGTTAGCCTGAGACAGGCAGGAAAAGAGGAAGTTTCAAAGTAGAAGAAAAAGGAACAGTCGAGGATACGTCTCTATTAGAGACGTATCCTCGACTGTTCTTATATAGAGACGTATCCTCGACTGTTCCTTTTTCTTCTACTTTGAAACTTCCTCTTTTCCTGCCTCAGTCTCAGGCTAACATCAGAATGGCAAAAATAATAGAAGTTGTGTTATGCATTTATGATGATATGACTCTCCTATTGTTGAAACAACTTAATTACTAGCTTATTTATCATCCTCTTTAAATTTTATGTAGAAAAGAAATTTTAAGTTTTTTCTGTGACATTCCAAGGCCATACGCTCTTTGTTTTCTTTTTTTTCTTGTAAGCACCATGGGATTTATTCTGTTGTTGCCAATTAATACACCGTGTTTTTGTTTTATGATGGCTGTGTTATTTCGAGTAAGCAACAGACATATAAAAAGGTTACTTCCCAGGAACCACCTAAGTGATTGGGCCTAAAGTGTAATGCAGTGATAAATGCACAAAAAATTGCAGGTTTTTTTTTTTTTTTTGGCAAGTAATGTGTGCAGCATACAGAAGTTATGATTAAAGGGTCATGAGTGAGTACAAATGAGGCAGGTATTGGCAGGTTTTATCTACCTTAATACAACGTAACAAAGAAGCTAGAATTTCTCATGGTCATCAAAATTGCACTCACCTTTTCTGATATAAAAAAAAACATATAATTTTCCAGACTTTGTTGATTTAACGCTCTTCCATTCTTTTTTGTTTTTATCAGCTTTGAAAATGCCATCTAATCACTCACACTTGTAACTTGCAAACTGATGAGGGGAGGTGTCACAGTAGCTAGAGCTGTTCATTCAATGCGATGCAAGTTCCAAAAGGAAGTCACTGCCACGTTTAGAAACGCACCATACTCCACGTGTTTGCCAAACCCAGGTTACGATGATGGAATCTAAATTTCTGGCTTTGACTGCAAGTTTGAAAATGCCATCATATGGGGAAAAGTTGCGGGACATTTCTAAGATGTTCGGCGACATGTCGGATAGTGAAACTAATTCAAACTCCATCTTTGAAGGAAAGTGAGCTTGACACACGCAAACCCAATCTTAAAAAAGAACACAGATTTGTCTCGTAAGACAAGCCCAAACACTCACCCCAAAATATAGCATGTTGATTTTGAACCCTTTGCTACATAACAATGGGTGATCCCAAGGATGAGCTAATAAATCTATAAAGAAACACATCGCAAGGTGAAGCGATGATGAGCCTTCTCTCTCGCTTTTTGGGTGCTCCCGTCAGCTGTGCCACGTGGCTCTCATATGCTGGCCTTATCTAAAATTTAAAAAAAAAAAAAAAATTAATTCAACATATTTGTTGTAAAATACTGGGGAAGTGCCCACCCCCCTTTCACCAAAAACTGACTTAATCTAGGCATGTGTGCTTCTCTGGTCAAATTGGAAAAAACAAAGATGGCAGCCAATAAAGAGCATTGTGGGCAGGGTGAATGGAATCGGAAGAAGCACATTTCTTTTCATGTCATGGCCACTGGCGGTCTCGTGGCCGCTGCAACGGGTTGAATATTTTTGGCTGATGCCGGTGCTTTGGAAAATTCCCAAGTTTGGGAAATGTTAATTGTGGGTGGTTTTACGAAGTGGGTGCTTCTGCCATATTTTATGGTATGTCTCTCCGGTTTAAGTTGGAAACATTGAACCGTATATATATATATAAGGTGTTTAGTGTCCTGTTTTCATTGCAGTGGGTTTTGGATTTGAAAATCTGTAGAAGTGTTAGGTTTTTTAGTGTAATTTCAAAAAGAGTATTTTAGAATTTTCTTTAAAAAAAAATATCATGAGCCATTCCACTCCGTGAAGGTGAATGACCAGCGAAGCTGTTTAGTGTACAACACAAACCAGTCCCGAGGAGCCAGAGGAAACTAGATCCACGACGGGACCGTTACCCCGGTAGAGTGGAAGGAAAGGAAACTGGGCATGCGAGCACTTGGAACGACAACAAAGAGAGGGCGGTGCAATTGTAGACATGGCCGACGCTGGTCGCACAGCGGCAAATCCTTAAGAAAACTTTATTATCTACTCGAGAGTCTACTGATCTTGAAAATGGGGCCTGTTGATAACTAATCTACTGAATAGACCTATTGTTAAATTACCCAAGTGGTGCGAGCGTAGAATTTTTTGTCGCTGCACACGAAAAATGTACGGAGCTCTAGCTATAAACAGCTTCGCTGTAATAAGCGCAAAACATGAATATCAAATTAATGTGAATCTCGTATATGCCACCATTTGTGAGAAAGCAATAATGGACAGGTGGCCTCTGCTTCTTCAAAAAAATGTTTGTGAGAGACATTTTCACAGCCTACTGCTTTTCGTGAAATTCATTAAGAAGGGTGCATCTAGTGAGTGATAAGATAATGACTCTCTTTATATTGATCAGTAGCCCGGAATGAGTGGCAGGACAATGTACAGGTTTTTGTTTTTTTATCGCAAAACGTAACTATGTATTGCGGAATGCTCAGCGTCTGCCCATATATAATTCTAGCGGCCCGAACGAGATGTTAAAGCTTCAGAACTGACCGTAATCTTGTTAAAAAGTTCTACGGGATTTTCTGAAATTATCAGTGGGAGAATGGCGGCCGACGTAGCCTTGGAGTACATGGAGCCGAATGACACCAGTTACCAGAAACGGGCCCCATTTCCCCATTGAAATTTTCAGAAAATCACTTGTAACTTCTGAGTAAGATAACGGTTAGCTCTAAAACTTCAGCATCTCGTTCGGACCTCTAGTGCTGCATTTGGGCGGAAGCTGAGCGTTCTGCGATGCATAAATTATTTTTGCTGTGAAAAAAAACCTTGTAAATTCTTTGAGTGTGTGTGTGTGCATGTGTGGAGGGGGAGGGGCACAGGCACAGGCTGTACTACTATCTAAGACCAGGCTGGCTTTTCTACTTTCTGCTAGAAGTTGTTCCTTACAGTACATTGATAGTTTACTTCTCTATGTACTTTCTGCAACAGGCTGTTCACTGCGCTACACTGTTGGCATGAACAAAGAATCGGCACTTTTATGCAGTATTGACGGACACTTAATTTCACCGCTTAGGTTAATGCCCTAAATGAAGACTTTTTGTCACTCTGCAAGCAGTTTTTTTGGCAGCTGTTGAAATTTATACGAAAAACTAACTGGCAATTGCGTGTTTGTGGAATAGTGTCTCGTGGTGTGCATTTGTAAATTGGTGTTATTTTTTCTGTCATTGCAACCCGCATCCTGCTTCATTTTTCTTCCCGACGGAGTTCGTCAATAATCTGGAGCTCATTTTTATTTGCAGGGCAAAGATTGTGAAGATTTCCTTCAAAAGGAAGCAGTTCTTTATACAGTTGAGAAGAGAAGGAGTGAGTAGGCCTTCGGTTTCGTTCCTATGTATGGTTGTCCCGTGTTTTCACACTTTGACTAGCTCGGATGCAAAGCCTGTCGTGTTGTGGATAGGTTAGCTTAGTTAAACAGTGGGACATGGAGTTATGTAAATAGAATGATGCAGGCGCTCCAAACTAAGACCTAACTGACAGCACAATGTTTTAACTTGCAACCACGTATGAAGAGCTAGGGGAATTGGTGCATACATCTCAAAATACTAACTACCATTGAAATTACTACATTTTTTTTATTTTGCTAATACAGACGAAGTTGCAAATTTCGAGCATGTCCAATGAGGCTAGCATCGCATATTTCCGAACGAGCATACATTACTCATTGGTAATGAAAAGAAGTGCATCCCAAGGAGACTATTCTCTCTTCCACTTTAGTCTTGACTTGTTTCTCTCACTTTTAAACAACTGTGGCATAATTTTTGCTCTCTTAACAATTCTTCGTGGTTTGTTTTACGGCAAATGATTCGCATGGTTTGCTTATGGTGTTTCGTCTTGGTGAATGAGCGTTCAGATTCTGGACATTCTTATTATATAACGTAGAATCTTCTTTGTGTAGACCGTTCTCGGTCTGGAACTTTAGTGTTCAGAGATGTTAAGGCAGCTATTGAGGCCACCTCTCTTTTCCAGACGGAGAGCTACGACAATCTGCTGGGCTTCAACATGCTGAGCTACCGGTCCTGCAAGAACCTGTGGAAGTCGTGCGTGGAGCACCACACCTTCTTCCGCCTCAACACCCCCCGTCCAACCACCAAGCGGTTCCTCTTCAGCCTCGGATCCAAGTTCAGATACAGGCAAGTCGGGAACTACTCCTTCTCTGGTCGGCTCGTTTACACGTTCGCCAGTTTATCTTTTAAGTATTGTTCCGTGGTCCACTTTTTTAAAGCCTAAATGGATACTGCCGATGTGCAGCTCATCCCGCCATGTATACCGGTAGACTGGCTTTTCTTCCTGAAATTTTGTAGGGATTTCATACGGATAAAACATGCCCGTTTATTTGGTTTTGTATCACTCAGCATCGTCATGACTGTGCTCCTTCTTTTTTCTTGTTGAGCATACCTCAGTTTGGAATATATAACATACTTTCCAGATGGTGCTGCTCTGCTGCATGCTTATGCGGTGCTACACACAGCTATGCTTGTGCTAAGGAGAAGTCTGATCCTACTTGGGAAAAATAATTAAATAGCGCAGACAAGACAAGGACGAAAGAAGGGGGAGGTAGAACAAGAACTGGCATTATCGTAACTGTGCCTTTTCTTGTCCTTCTCTTGTTTGCACTGTTTAATTCGTTTTTACTATGAACCAATAGCTCAATCAAGAGTCGTGATGCCACTTATGGTGTCCTTCCTCGTCCTTAATTTTTGTTGGCATCGTAACTTTGTGTAATAATTAACCATTTTATCATGATTTTGCTCTTATATACCCTTTAAAACCATTCGGGACAGCACTCTCGACTGTTTGTCATTTAGGCACACTGCTGCTTAATTGTCTTTAAGCAAGTTTCTGACTATTTTCTGGCAGCCGATGCAGAATGTTATTTTTTCTCCTGTCCAGTGGCAGAACGGAATACCAGACGCTGGAAGACATGAAGAAGCGGGGACTGGATGACCGGCCCTTCCTCAGGTAGACACCACTCTCTTTTCGTACGTGGCAGACTGCAGGGTATGGAACGAGAAAAGCGAACCACGACTTTCTCATTGCAAAACGGGCCTATTGCAATGCCAAAAGCTCAGACTCCAGCAGAATTTATCGCTAGCAGGGTAAAATTCAAAAAGTTCTCAGCTTTAAAGTTTCTCGATTCGTTTTTCGAGAAATTTCAATGAGAGAATGGTGGCCAAATTTGCAGCACACGTGATTTGTCTTCATGTATTCACGGAATCTGCTGGCTGCCTTTTTCTTACTAAAAAGTTAAAAAAAAAATTGCTTCTAATTTTTTTTTTTTTGAGGAGGACAATGTTAGATTTTGAATTTTGGTATGTTATTCCAACTGCTGGCCTTACATTGGGGTGCAGACTGAATATTGCTGAGGCTGTTCGCTTTCCGTGCGCGATACCCTTTAGTTCCAACTTCTGTGCACGATAACACCAGTTAGAAAAACTTGTGCAAGCTCCTCCTTTTCTGAGGAGGATCAGTGGAAAATTTAAATTGATTCATCAGTTAAGTATTGCTTACTCCTAGGGTGAGTAGACAGATGAACAAACTGTTTGTTCTTTTGGATCCTACTAATTAGGTAGATGTAGTTTCCTGACACTGGCACAATTTCGTTCAATAACAATTTCAAATCATATTTGTGATTTGAAATGTTAGACATACTGCATTTTTATCAGTGGTAATAGGGTAGTCTTTAACAGTTATTAATGAGATTTGAGTGTTACTAAAGCATGCACAGAGGTAAAACAACTAATATTAAATAAAAAAAAAAAACAAGTAAAAAAAAATTTTTTTTTTTTACTTTTTTTTACAATAGTAGTTTTTTGGTACAGGGGTATTGTAGGAGAGGGTTACAAAATGTGTAAATGAGTACATTTTGACATAATAATGTAAGTCACTTGCTATGAGGTGGCCAGACAGTGGAGGAAGATTTCAAGTGAATCTGAATTAGGGATGCTGGTGGTGTTACATTTGAGCTAGTGGTGTTAGTTTAGTTTTACAGGCATGTTTTTTATTTAGGCTGTAACATTCTTTGACTCCGTGAAAAATACCAGTATTGGTTTTGTTACTTTCTTTTTTTTTTTCTTTTTTTTTTTTTTTGATCAATCGGCCGTTTACTTAGTTTTTCGTTACAATGCTGTGGCACAGTGGCCTTGTTTTCCCTTCTATGTTCAACACCTCAACTTGAGCCTGGGGATTGGCCTGCAGCATTTTCACAGAGGATGAAAAGTAATGATTTTTGCTTTTCAACTAGAGCATGTACACTAATGTTTAGATCCCACTTTGGGCAGTCCACAAAAAATAAGTTTCTCAATGTATCGTGCTGGGATTTACTACGGAAGTGTGGCTAGGTGGTGCACACATAAAGTTAAAATGTCATGGGATAGGCTTACCTCGTTTAGAAAGGAAAAACCAGTTTCGGTTTATGCTGCCGCGGCATTCGCAGACGACGTCACGACCGGGCTCGTTTAGTTAAACCTGCCGTCGACAAATGTCAGAAGCGTCGAGTGCACCGGCGCTGAGCTTGGCAGGCAATCTTTAGAAACTTTTCACTATACCGGCGCGCATTTCCGCTGGTGCGTTTAACGCTTCGGACATCTGTCGGTGGCAGATTTAACTAGCAACCCCGGTCATGGCGTCAACTGCGAATGCCGTGGTAGATAGCCCAAAACAGGCGTTTCTTTTTTGCTGCACCTCTGTAGTAAATCTTAGCGCGATATGTCGAGAAACCGATCTTTGCAGGCCACCCAAAGTGGGATTGAAACATTAGTGCATGTGCTGTACGACACTACTTTATTGGCAATGAGAGGGGGAGAACAAAACCCATAATATGTTGTTGCTTGCACCCCCATACTGGCCTTATCATTAAAATACAATAAGAAAACTAACAGATTAACATTTTGAATGGCTGTCTTACATTCTTACCAGTTATGCAGTCTGAAAAGTGATTTCAGGAACTAGTGTTTCTTGCTGCAGCAGCCCCAAGCAACACATTTGTTTATCATGTCACAAACTCCAGGAAAAAAAGAAAAAAAAAGAGGTGCAATGTTCCTTGAAGTGCAAAACCTCTGTACAGCATTTAGGGCTTTTCAGCATGTCAATGCATATAATTTAAATTTTTTTTTTTTTTTCAAAGGGTAATGTTGTATACAGCACCTTTTCTATACACCTTTCCAAAAAACACTCGACCCCAGGAGCAACAAACCGTTTTCGAGCCCATTCACTGAGTTTGAGGCTAGACTTTCACCGGCGTCCCTCCTAACCCTAACCGAGTGGACTGTGATTTCAATAGGCGCAGCCTGCGTAGGCGCAGTTTCAAACGCTGCTGGCGGCTAAATTCTCGTCTTTTCCCGCTGTATTTCGTCTTTCGTGGTACATGTACCTTCCCGAGGACATTGAGAAAGCATTGTGCCACATTTGAAAAAACAAAAAGAAAACTGTAAACTATTTTTGTTGGGTACGCGCGCGACAGACCGAATGCAACTGGAATGTATAGTTCTAGTAGTTACTTGTGGTTTTTTTTTTCTTACGGCAAGTTTTGACGGCGCCGCGGGATTCGCCACATATTAAACGACAGAAGACTTTGCCGTCAAAAATAAATTGCAACAGAAGACGGCCGAAAGGCATGCATTTTTCACGCTCACAAATAATGTGTTTACCGATGGACAGGACATGGACAAACAATTGAGGAAGTGTTAACATTCGAACAATATATCGTACGTACCACACGATGCAGCGTTATCAAAAAAGAATTTATTTGAGAAAGATCTCAAATAACTCAGTCACAGTCGACGGCAGTCACACCTTGACGATCGGACAGAATCAGAGATGACTTCGTTTTGGGGCGCGTCTTGGGGAGAGCTTCCTTTTTTCACAACCGCACCAAGGCAAAGAAACAAACGCGACTGACCCGTTTCTCGCCCCAACCTGGATAGCCATTTTTGGAGATGACTGAGGATCGCGGATTATGTCTGGGAGGGGGGAGAACAATGTTCGCAAAATCGCGTCGGGGGTCGTTCGACGTCCTTCACCTCCTTCGTTTCCCGTGAATGTCGAGTAGAAAAGCTTGAATGGCAGGCACTTACCAGCCTTATTTCTCACAATGGAAGATAACACAAGAAGGGTACGCAGCACGCATAAAAAAAAATTCAGTGGAAACTTTTAAGAGGGGCGAGAAAACGTTGAATGCAAAACCGCAAAAACGTAGGTAGAGAACCGCACTGAGCAAGTCTTCACAGTCCCAGAGAGTGGCAGAAAATTTCTAGCTGATAGAGGGCGCGAGAGCAGCACCAGCCGCATCAGCAACATGGCGGCGGCCTAGGAGCGTTTTTTGGAAAGGTGTATAAATGTGGTTAAAAAGAACAGGTGCTTTATTGTCTTGTAGATACGTTCTGTATTAATTAGTGGTTCTGCATCATGCATTCAAAATGTTATTCTTGCTCACAGAAGTTGAAATTTCTACATCGACTTTAGAAAGGGAGCCAATGCTTTGCTAGGCAACTTGGCCTTTTTTCCAATTTCAGAGAAGTGTAATCTCTTAGCTAAACATTGACTGGCCTTCCCTGGCTTTCTGGGTATTCCTTCTTGCATTCTTCCTTTCCAACTTGTGCTATCTTTTTTTTTTTTTTTATGCATTGCAATTAGTATTAGGGTTATTCTCCTGAAAGCTTATTCTTTGGACCCAAAAAAATATTATTTTGAGACATCGATATCAGTTTTTCATATTTTGTTGATTATTGGTGAATCTTGATCAAAATCATGGCCAAGCTCCCAGACGCTCCTTTTTTTTATTATTATTCAATATAATGTAGAATGTATACCACTCACAATGAATAATAACTATCTTGGAACCTCTAAAAAAAAAAAGTTTTTTTAGCAGTTTGGTTGGGACACGCGTGTCAAAAAAATAATTTTATGCGAAAAGAAAAAAAAAAATTTTTAGAGCGATATTGACGGCGCGAGACGCAATTTAGTTGGCGGTCACCTCCTTTCCACTTGTTTTCTCTCGGCATTTTGGGCACGTGGAGGAGTGGTAAATTGGCTTCGCCTTCATGACTGTGATGGTCATTCTAGAATGACCCGTGACGTCGTGGACTTTGTGCGCAGAATTTCAAATAAATTTCTCGCCGTAAATATTGCTCTAAAACTATTTTTTTTTCCCCCGTAAATTTTATTTTTTGAGACGCGGGTCCCAAGCTGACTGTTTAAAAAAAACATTTTTTTTCTTTTCAGGGGCCCTTTAAACAATATCTTTTGTCGTGCCTATCGCATTATAAATATTGACAGTTTTGGAGGGATTTACATCTGCAATAGCACGCTCTTAATTGATACTGTAAGTTTTTGTTTCCTGGCGATGTAGTACTTTGGTGGGGGCTGCCGACTGTTGTGTCTGAAAAACAAAAAGGGTAATTTTAAAGAGCAATTCGATTTTTTTTTATCAGCACATGCACATTTTGTTTAACAGTTCGTTATCTTTAAAGGAAATAAAAAAAAATATTATGAGTATATATCTGCAGAAGCAGATCTGCATAATATTTTTTTTACGTCTCTATACACCAACTCATGTTTACAAACAAACCGGAGCGCCCCTAGCGGATGCCACCGGCGCCGCGCATGAATGATGAGGTTGTGGGCAAGAAGCTCGCTGTCGCCCATAAACAAACCATTGGAATGCGATGTTGTCGGCGTGGGTGTGAGTCCCCTTGCCCTTTTTCGCTTTCGAATTGTTGATTCTACGTCTTCCTGGCGATGTCCGACTACTTGAGCGGCCTCAGCGAAATTACCGAGACTCGTTACACCAGGAAACTTTGTGTGAATAATGTGACATGTGGTGATTCATTCCGCGTAGACGCCGCAGTTTGGACGCTAAAACCTGATTCGCATGATGAGATTTCAGTCGCAATTTTCAGTCGCGACGCCGCTCGGGCGGCAAAAGTGTGAACCGTAGCTGAGATGGGTCGACGTCGATACTGAAAATCGCAAGCATAATCGGACCAAGTCAGTTAGGCATAGCAAGTCGGTGATAGTCACTGGTAACAATGATCAACATCTCCTTGTACTATCTACTGTTTACATCGGGCCTGCTTACCAACCTTCAAATTTGAGTCTTTTGAGGCCTGCACTTACTTCTTATCGCAAGTACCGGGCCAACATTTGGTCTACGGGCCGGCATCGTCTAAGAGAGCAGACGACAAGCGGAAACGTTTGAAAGAGCAGACGACAGTTCGAACGATCAGGCGGCCGTTTGAACTTGAAGACGCACTGAACATAGTCCACAGGTGGTCCGCACAACTTGATGGTTTTCTGGCGTTCATGTTGGAACAAAACAAATAAAGCTTATGACCACAATCATTCGTGAATTCAACTTAAAGTGCTTCTTGCCCAAGCAATGGTTGTCCTACGGCGTCTGCTTTTCTATTTTCACGGCACATATCCAGATTCTCGGACGAACCGAGCACGTGAAAACTGACCTTCAAACCTTTCTCGACTCTTTTGGTATGGCCCCATTACCAGCGTTTTGACGAGAGGGCAGGTTTTTGTCCGGTTCCTTTTAAACCAATGCAAGAATACACTAAAACTTTCGTATATCATTCATATCGATTAAAAGGTTAAAAAACGCCAACAAACAGGACGAAAAAAGAGACACATACAACACGGGCAGGCAGAGTACTGCCAACGATGTGGGTGCGAACCTTTGTTTGAGCGCACAAGGTTTATCAAGAAAGGGAATGAAAAAAATGGAAAGAGAACTAATCGAAGCTTTCTGTATACACAAAACAGCTGACAGATGCGTAAGCATGCCATCTCTTTTTCTGTTAACCAAAGAAATTGGGCTTCTTGAAGGATATGTGTAATGAGCGATAGGAATTTTTATCAGTTGCATGTGTTTAGGCAATTGGGATCGAGTTTGACGATGATTCGTGTTTCAATAAATCAGTTGGAAGTTGGCGCCTGTCCGTGTCGTACGTGTCTCTTTTTTCGTCCTGGTTGTTCGCGACTTTTATCCTTTTAATCAGGAATACACGTCTGGCATGGGGACTTCTGCCCACAGCCCCAGACCGGAAGTGCGCCCGACGCGCCACCACCGCGCCGTGACGTCATAGAGTTGAGTTGGTGTATAAAGCCCCGTGGCCTTTTTTTTTTTTTTCTGTGGATGCAGGCGGCAAGGAGGACGTCAATTATTGCTTATCGCACTAAATTGTTCCCTTTAAAAAAAAATATAATTGAAACGCGTAAAAAAATTTTTTTTTTAATCTCTTTCCTGGCTATGCTTATAGGCTAAGGCTAATCCAGTGGTTCTCAACCATTGATTGGTGGACCCCCTTGTTAATTGGCGGAGATGATGGAGGATCCCGTTCGTGGTGAGGAAAAGGGAAAGTTATATGTTAATTATGGTAATAATTTACAAAGTGGATATTACTAAGGGATGATGTGAAGTAGATTTCTCTCATTGACATATACACGAGAAAATTCACCCGAAAATTCGAACGCTTCTTCTCCATTGGATAAAAGACAACTTTTATTGCCGGGCTTGACTGGCGAGGCAGGGCTTCGCGGACCCCTAGAATGCCTTCACGAACCCCGAAGGATCCGCGGACCCCCATTTGAGAACCACTAGGCTAATCTATGGTTGCTAAGCGCCGTCAAGAAACTACATTTAGTGCGAAGAATTATGTTGCGCAATCTCGTGGATAGCCGAAGAATTGTAGTTTCAGTTTTAACGTAGGTTTGAGCTTTATCACAAGCTGGTGGGCTGTCAAAAATAGTCTTGGGAACGGTGGTTGCACTTGTCTAACATGGCTAACTGCTTGCATCTGTCTTCGTAAGAAAGCGAGTATTATTTGCATAATTCAACTGTATTGTGGCATATGTTTTAGACCAAGAGCTCTAGGGATACTTTGAAATGATGCTTTAGGCGTCACTTAACAGACTGTTATCGGTAAGCATCACTATATTTCCGATGCTGTCCTGAGTCGGCCTGCATGTTTTATGTTACCAACAAGGAGGACAGAAATGATAAATATGAAGGAACTGCAACCAGTGCTATAGTAAAACCAAGGTAGAACACAAAGAAAGCATTCTGCTGGGGATGTTAGGTATACTCTCTGTGTTTCACCAACATAAGCATTCCTTCCTTGAAAAGCACACATGATACATGTAGTTTTCACCGAACCGAAAATAGACGTCGGTTACAATACACTGACTTTCAGAAGTAATAGCTGTGGGTGTGTGGCACTTGTAGATTCAAAATTTTCAAAACTTGTGCTGTTTTGACTGTTTGTTCATTGCACGACGATCGAGCCTAGGGTCTTACCACTTAAGTTGCGAGGGAATAGTGCTTCTCAGAGTGTTGGTGTACAATAGTAGCACTTTGCATCTCTCCAGGAAGGGTTATCTGCCATTTCTACAAGTGCTAAAGGCAACCACATTAACTCGATCAATCTAGGACGCTTGCCGTGCGTCCCCATGTACTCATGATGAAACACACATACGTTGTCTTGTGCGGAAACCTGCAAGGAGTGGATAGGCCGTGCTTATCCACTCCTGCACATGGGGGTTCAATCGGAAATAGTGCGTGCAACGGGTGACTCAGCGTGCCGTTTCCCTTCTCCGGTGCCCCCAGGTCCCCGAGCAAGCGGTGCGTGCGCCAGACCGTCCCGACGCCCACGGAGCCTCGGGAAAAGAAGCCGTCCAAGAGCATTCCCCGAATGAACGGAACGTCCAACTCCCACGTCCGTCCCTACGACAGCTTCAGCCACAAAGTACAAATATCCGGGCCGGAGTACCTGCCTCGCAAGGCCTGGGCAGAGACTCCCCTGTGAGTGCCGTCGTGTTTGTCTGCCCAGAGTTTTCGCTGCCACCCCTGTCGTTGAATGCTGGCTTTAATGCCATTGAGCAACCATTGAATAGAGCTGGGAAAGCGCTGCGTAGATTAAATGCCGGTCATTAAATTCTGACTGTGATGTCAGTCATTGAATGCCAAGTAGGGAGCCATTATGCCAGCTGAGGAAGCACTGTGCGGACGGAGAAACCAGTTCTGACCTTTAATTGCAGTTGAGGGTACAGTGTACCTACACGATTACATTCAATGCCTATACACGCAGCCAGCATGCCGCCGTGCAGCCGTTACCAAAGGTAGGCAGTGAGAACCTCAGCGAAACGAAACCACTCTGCGTACATTGGTACGCATTGAAGTCGAAGCAGTGAGGTTGTCCTGGGTTGACAACATGAGCTGCTGCGTCATTAAGTGCTCCAGTAGTTATACGTCGTGTCTCGTGGGGAAGAAATTTCATAGTTTTTCAACTCACCGTTGTTTTGTGGGGCAGCGACATTGGTGGATCTGTGCCGTACGATGCAAAAAATTTGGTATTTCGTTCATGTCTGCCATGGGTCAGCTTGGCTGACATATCGTACACTGCAGCTTTGCACACTGTGTTTGTTTTTGTCCCAGTAACGCCTACATATGTCGGCGCCGATGGAACAAACTGAAAAGCCATTCCACGCTCATAGGCATGCAGCGCCCATTTCGTTGGAGGGATGCCCTCCAAAGACATTTCGTTCCGATCGTACATGTCGATGATCTTTCCGGAGCAGTATGGCTGCAGATTGTACTTCATGAAGAAAGATTCGGACGGTACAAAAAGTGTCAAGTGTGAATCTAAAGAAAACTGCATTGATGCTTGGAATTACTGTACAATCGACACTTCAGTATGGCAGTTTAGGTGGTGTGCTTTCTTTTTTACAGCAGAGCTATTAAGGGCTAGTTTCCCCAGTTTCGTGTCTGTGGGAAAATAAATCTTGACACGACCCTCTAAACAGCTACCGCCAGCTATAAGCGAGGGCGGCCGGTTGTCTGGTTGCCGCCGTCGCTCATAGATGGCAGCACGTTGTACAGCTCCACTGCTTTTCCTTCTTCATCGGTGCGGAAAGGCTGAAAGTTTTTTTTGATCAACCTAGTTTCGAACGTGAAAATTGCCGTTCTTCACATATGGGGTTGTGGGTAGGTTGTAAATGACTGCTAAACAAAATGCCAAAAACTTCTTTGATTACATTAATGCAAAATAACTAATTATGTCTCAACAAAAAAAAAAAAAAAATTATACTTTTAAAACATTAAATAAATCAGTTTTATTGTTTAAATCAAATATAACTCAGATGTTTATACATACTATTTAAATCACTTTGCCAGAAAAGTCGTTTTTACAATGTAAAAAAAAGATCCACTGTAAATTTAATTACATCATAAGGTGCAGATCAATTCAAAACTGTTTTTTTTTATATATAAACTATGGCATACTAAAACAAAAAGATTGATTTTTCTTTTTATTCTTTTTATTTTTATTTGCTTGATGTTTTCTTAATTAAAAAGAAAATAAATAGTGAAAACTTATTTATTGTATTAACTTTGCAGGAAATTATTTGTGTAAAGGGTGTTCTTGTGGGAAGTCATCACAATGAAATTGGTGTTGCTTAAATCACAATTTAAAACATCTTGATTTTAATTCTCCACCCTGAGCTCGATCATTTCGCCGTAGATTAATTTCAGGATAACAATGCCTCTTTGATTTTGCGGAAAAGTTCAGTGATTGCACTGTCTAGATGCCGGGAATGTTTCTCATCAAAAGCCAGCCCGCAGTGTGATTGCTACAAGATGTTAAATTGATTTCCTGGGATATGTAAGAAGTGGAGAACAGCTAAATGCTCTGCTTAGGTTTGCCCCAGCCCTAATGCAATGACACTCTCAATGCATCGGCTTGAAGAACCAAGGTTTCGTCCGTGCACGCTTCCACCGCCACGGTTTTGCACGCAAAAAGGCGCCGCGTGCTGCTGAATGCATCTCATTGTCGAACATCAGCTCCTCCACTCGTGGTGCAACGCGCGTTTTTCAAAGCGTCCCCTATAGTTCCTGCACAGAGTGTATAGTAATGGTATTGCAACTCTACTTCAACTTTGTTCACTATATCCCTGTCTTTCCTATATCATCCTTTATTGTAAAGAAGTTGTATTGTATTTTTAATGGTTAGCTTTTATAGTACTATATCAGTGTCACATAGTTTATAATAGAAATGGTGTTTGCACAGACCCTCTGAAAAGTTCGACTCTGTGAGGTGAAGTGGGAGTTTAACATGCAGTGGGTTCCCATTAATATCTCCGTTCCTTGTTCTTCCAAAGGTGAATGTATCGTGTGAAAGGACAGTTTATTAAGTGGCAAGAAGGTGGGAGTGTTGGATTAATAATTGTCTCATTAATGAGCATGACTGCATTTCATTCTCTAAGAGCTATGCGAGTTGGGATCTATTTTGCTCAGTTAATTTTACTTCTCCAGAAAAGTAAAATAGCTTAACTGACTGCCTTTTTGACACAAACTCGAGGATGTACTGAAAGGATTATGAGTTTCCACAAATATTTTTTAAGAGAATCCTAAACCCCTAGAACATCTAAAAATAAAAAAAATAAAAAATTATATTTTAATTTTTTGTGTTTTAACTATTCAAATCTCAGTTCAAGGAACTGTGTGACACCCTGTTCTATTTTTCCACATATTTATAGCAGTCAAATGTCTCGATTTAAATGTGAATAGCAACATGCATAAAAAACAAATCTTATCACGCTAATTTTGGCATGCCTTCAGCCGTTCTTATCGGTTTGAAGTGTCTTTGCACAACCCTCGCTATCTGAAAATGCTGGGGCATATTTTTTTCTCTCTCTCTCTCTCGCACTACTCTGCAGGAGCGAAGTCCAAGCCTTCACACCTGCCATTCCCCCAAAGATGATAAGATACGCCGATGACGACTCCCTTCCTGAGCTCATCTTGGTGAGTCTCTTTTGCGTACATATTCCGAGTTTCTCGTAGGGAACCTAGACCTGGGGTGTCTCACCGTGCCCCTTCGACGTTTTACTAAGGTGCCCGGAACGCACCTCTGTCTGGTGTGTGTACCGAATCGCTATCTCTTTCCTTTCGATTCCTGCCTGGGGATGTCACGTTAGAAACATTATGCGGATTGTAGCGGTCTTGGCAGTAGTTCCGAGGTGCAGAGGACATTGAGGCGGCCCACCGACTCCGGGCGTGAAAAGGGAAAATAGCGCCGGTTCTTATCAGGTTTGCCGAAAAAAGAACGAGGGGCCTGTGGATGACGAAGCGAGTGACACCAAGAAATGAAGAGATTTACATTAACGAGAATCTAACCTAAACACTGAAAGGTTTACCTTGGCAAACTAGGGAATGTGCAAGAGCAAAGGCATACAAGTTTGTGTGAATGAGAAACAGCAAGATTTTTTCACAGCAGAAAGAAGGTGCTGGCGCAGTCCGCACCGAATGTGAAAGAGATTTAACTAAACTAACGTAGCAATGGAGAGCACTTTCGACTCAATACGCTAGTGGGGCCTTTATAGGTCACGTGTGCAGATGGAAAGTAGCTGCAGTAACGTAGAGCTTTGCCTTCTAGACGTAAATGTCCGAAGCTTGCGCAGGCATTGGAAGAAACTTTTAGTTATATTATCTGGAAGCCTGGCATCGCTGGATGTATTGATATTGAGCGAAATCAGCGTGGACGAAAAATTGTGTTTGGAATTTACGCCAGGAGATTTCCACTCATATTGTCTGTGTTGTGAAGAAAAAAGGGGAAGTGGTTTATTGATGTTTGTAAAAAATTATTTTTTGTTAGAGAGGAAAAACGTATCCATGATTCACGCAGGAGTTTGCACAGTCTCGATTCATAAATCTTCAGTTTCATATATTGTGTTCCCCATTTATGGACCGCCTATTTTATACATAAACGTGTTTTGTGAGGAATTTTCTGTCCTGCTTCGCCAAGTTGATAACAGTCAGCATGTTCTACTGGCCGGCGATTTTAATATAGATATTTCAGACGATTCAAAATGCGTAGTTTCTGATTACTTAGATGTTCTTTCTTCTTTTGGTCTAGAGAATGTAATATAGATTGCACGAGAAAAGAATCTTACGGTTGTAAAATAACGAAGTCATGTATTGATCATATAATAACTAGACTTGGTAATGTGATATTAGTTCCTGCAGTGATTAAACAAAAAGTCGCGGATTATTATTTCATTGCTCTTGCAGTATTAGGGGGAAATCCCAACCAATTGCACGTCCAACCGTACAGTGCTTAAAACAGTCTTAGATAATAAAAAGATAGCCTGTCTGATTAGCCGTCTGATTAGCACATATGATTGGAATTCATTGGGAATGTATGATCACATCACCACTTACAGTTTGCTCGTAAGTAAATTTAAAGAGGCTGATAAACCTCTTCCATGATTACAAAGCTAAAAAAAAGAAAAACGGAAAATGTGTGGATTAATGACAATATTTTAGAACTATGTCATCAGAAAGATAAATTATGGCAACGATGCAAACAAAATCCTGGCAATAAAAATCTAAAAGTGAATTTCGGGCACTCCGAAACAAAGTAACAGCTAAAATGTGATTATCGAAAAAGAAGCATTACTTAGATGAATTCTCTTCAGCAGGGAATTCAAGGAAAACATGTGATCTCCTAAATGAGTTAATTGGTAGAGAAAGGAAAAATAACATTAACGATACAATAAGAAATAATTTCCCCTGTACAGTCAACTACACGGAACTGGCCCTGTTCTTCAATAAGAGTTTTATTAGTACTGTAAAAGCCTTAAAACAAAACATAATGTGACATGTGAAAAAAAAAAGCCAGCTGAACAGATCAGCTGCTTAATTCGGCACACGTAGCACAGCTACACGAACAAGAAATGTTCGATATTATCAACTCAATGTCAATTACAAAGGTACCTGGGATAGATGAAATTCATGTACGGGATTTAAAGTATAACTATGCAAAGTTAAAACTGATCCTACTTAAAATCATCAACGGCTGTTTGACAACGGGTGAAATACCAGAAGGACCAAAAGTATCAATAATAAGGCTGCTTTATAAAAATGGTAATAAGAAAGAAGTTGGAAATTATAGACCCATGTCTATATTTCTCGTGATTGCTTACATCCTAGAGAAATGGGTTGAACAATGTATAAATGGATTTTGCGACAAATTTCTGTTATTAAATCCGAAGACAAAGAAGTACAATTTCACTACTTGAAGGTTTCTCCAGTTTGTAAATGAAACACTTGAAAATAACAAGATAGCACTTGCCTTGTTCGTGGATTTATCTAAGGCAGTGGTTCTCAAATGGGGGTCTGCGGACCCTTTGGACTTTGTGAAGGCATTCTAGGGGTCTGCGAAGCCCTGCCTCATCAGTCAAGCCCGGCAATAAAGGTGGGGTTTTTTCAGATTGAGAAGAAACGTTCCAACTTTCCGCAGGGTTTTCTCATGTGTATGTCAATTAGAGAAGTCTACTTCACACTAGCCCATAGTCATATCTATTTAATAAATCATTATCATAATTAGCCTATACCTCTACCTTCCCCTCACCACAAACAGGGTCCTCCATCATCTCCGCCAATCTATAGGGGGTCCGCGAAACATCAGTGGTTGAGAACTACTGATCTAAGGCATTCGACACATTAGGCCATAAACTTCTGTTACATAAACTTGATAAGCGCGGTTTCAGAGGTCCTTTTAACCGATTTCTTGCAAACTACTTTACAGACCGATTTCAAATGGTAAAAATTAGTCGCAACACCAGTGAAAAAGTAAGAGTTGAATGTGGTGTGCCGCAGGGCAGCACTTTACTGGTTTTTAATATATTTATGTGAACGACCAAGGATCAATCCCGTTGCAGTCTAGACTGTTTCAGTATGCTGACGATAACCGTTTTATTATTACTGCATTATGACTACGAGCTAGCAGTTTCTCTTTCTCAGTGTGAGATAAACTTTTTAATAGATTGGTTCTCGAGCAATGAAATTTCTCTAAATACCAATAAAACAAAGCTAGTTCGTTTCCGTAACCCCCAAGTGCATTTAACTTAAGCCAAACATATATCTCCACCTTCATGAGCAAGATCAGTCCATCTGCAGATGTAAGCCATTACCGTACAAGTCTTCAGTCAAATATTTAGGTATATTTTTTTTTAGCGGAACCATCAGAACATTTCACTAGAAAGCTCCGTTTAGTATCCGCATATATATACAAACCAAAAAGTGCATGCAGTTCTTCATGACTTCGAACTGGAAGAAAAAATGAAAGCATTAGACATACTCTCATTCCATCAAAATTATGGCAGTCTATTTTCAGAGCTCTGGGAGAGTCCATCTTGTGGTATGGAATAACGATATACGGGAATTGTTCAGGGTACAAAAGAAAGGGAGTTGATAGGGTCATAAGGCATATTGCATATAATGTTTCATATGGTTCAGTTCATCATGACTTAGAACTGGAAAAAAAAATGAAAGCATTAGACATACTCTCATTCTATCAATCTTATGAATATCTAGCAATAACAAGTAATTACTATAAAAATAATTTCAAATACGAGGTAAATAAAAGAAATCTAAGGCGTACAGAGAGATTTATATTGACGAAAGTTCTAACCAAAATGAAAGGAAATATTAGATCTGTGCATTACCTATTTAATGCGTTGCCTGAAACTTTAGGTAATTTAACATCCATTCGCACGGTAAAACTAAGCGTTAGAGAATGGTGTCAAATGCTCACTGATACTACCTGTGGATAAAACGTAATGGTTTGCTTAGTGCACAGTTTCTTTCTTAACCTTTTATAATGATGCATGCAGTGTTTTGTTGGCTGCCTGGATCCACACGCAAGCATTTCTGCTTTCGCCAGCACTACGCTATCTTGTGTGTTTTTTTCTTTTCAGTAAATAAAGTATTATTATAATTATTATTATAATTATTATTATTATTATTATTATTATTATTATTATTATTATTATATCATCATAGCAATAGAGGTGGAGGCAGCAGTTGCGCGTTCTGCTGTACCTCGTTTTGTAACGAGCCAGTCGACAAAAATTCCGCAGTCACAGGTTTGGATTTCATGGCGTTTGCGACAGTGGTGCCCATTTGTCTCCGATGTTGCCGCTTCTACAACCAACCGCAAGGATTGCGGCAATTTGTAGCATTTGACAGCGGCTCCCGCAACATTTTGTTGCTGTTTACGGTACACTCGGATGCGTGGATGGTATAGAATGTTTAACACATACCCATTAAGGACTTGTTCCAGGCATTGTGGTTCTACCGATGCAGACAGTTCACCATAGCAGCTGTGTGCTAGGCTCCGAGTGTGCAATGAAATGCCAGCCACACAGCTGCAAAAGTAACAAGCATATTTACCTCGTACAAGCAACCACCATTTTGTACACTGAGAACCGCCTGTCGAACTGGAGCTGTCCAACGCTCAGCAATCAGATACAAAGGAGCCAATGTTGTGGAGGAAAGAACCACCAGAACTGCCGAATCGTACACCCAGACCCCCGGAATCCTGTGTGCCCTTTGTGCTCTTTTTTTTTTGTGTGAGCTCCTTCTGTGTACCCAAAGTACTTTTCGCTGGTCTGTCGGATCGGGGGCAGACATGTCTAACCGCTCTTCTGTCGGAGGACCAAAGTAAAATCCTCCTGCTGTGGGGAGGAAGCAGGAGGAGAAAAGAACCTCCATACGACTTGAAGATGCTGCAGACAGAACAACATGTTTGTAAATTCTGTTATCGGTTTCTAACAAAGTCGCTCTTGTAGAGATAATGAGCTGATCCAGTTGGGAAACGGAACAAATGGTCCCAGAACAAATGGTCCCGGAACTAATGGTCCCATGCACAAACAGGAAAAGATGGTCCCAGATAAATATTGCCAATATGGGTTCCGCTTTTTCGAATAAATCCGATAAAATCCAATAACACTCGCCGGTAA